TGGCAGACGACTTCGAACTAGGTGTGTTCTACATAGTCGCTTTGACAACAAGACCAAGTTGCGACAACGAAGTCAACCAACTTCTACAATTAGTTTTTTCTGCCTCCTCCCAAGAGAGTTTGGGACAAATATTACCCAAAATGGAATTGCAGTTTAATGCTTGTTGGTGGCACTTTCATTTAGCATGAACGTGCATGAAGAAGAGATTCGTGGCTCGAGCTGCGTGGTACTGCATCCGTTTGGCATTTGCACGATGTTCCGGTTGACGCATTTTTATCCGCTTTTCAACCGAAATGAGGCAGCAGGTCTCGTGGACTACGTCAACATGAACATGGCATCAAAGACAAACGGCAGCAGTTCAACGCGATTGCGACGTCCTCTTCTTCTGGTGAGATCGACCCACGAATGTCTTCTTCATGCACGTTCATGCAAAATGAAAGTCCGCCCAACAATGTTTTCTCAGAAGCTTCATCGAAACCCAGTTTCTCTTCGTGTCTACCAAGTTGAGGTTGAGTGAGCCCGCTCTGCCCTGAAAGTCACGATAGTTGGCCAGCCCTTTCTGGCCAGAAACTATCAACACGCACGTCCATGTAACCAGCTCTGCTCCCTCTGTTAGACGGGACTCGAACTCGGGTCCGGCTTGGGGGCATGGAAATGTCTTTTTTCGTGCTATTTTTCTACTTCTTGTTCGTCTGCAACCAGTTTTTAAATATTATTCTTGATCTTTGCCTCCTTTTTTGAGCTTATTATTATTATATTCATAATCTTCTCTTACACATCTTCGTCGTCTTTTTTATCATTCTTCTTCTTCTGCGTCTGATTGTATTCAATCCATTTGCTAGCCCTCCTTTCCCACTTGCATTTCATCATCTTTTTTTGATTAGTTTATCAGCATTAATTGTTGCTCTTCTCTTTTTTAATCAACCGGTAGAGGTTGCGCCAAGGAATGCAGCAGTTTTTGCAGGCAACAGGATCCTGAGGTGCAGCAGTGATTTTTAGAAAAGTCGAATTAAAAAATGCTCTTTTTACTTTTGCATTTTGACCTGTATGAACTAAAACGTCGTGCGTACCGCACTACTGTTGCAGTACTACTGTCACTGTCTACTCGGACACTTGTATGCCATGGATGATTGCACTTTGACCTTTACCTTTGTCTTTCTCTGTACCCACCCGCTGAGCAGTGCAAGCAAGGCATCAAGTCGAGGTTCGACTTCGAATGGACCAAACAGATCCGGGCCTACTTCCTGGAGGACGTGGAGAAGTGTATAATCGCAATCACGGACGTGAATTTCGAGTACCAAAACGAGTTTGTCGGCTGCACCGAGCGGCTGGTGATCACTCCGCTCACGGATCGCTGTTACATCACATTGGCGCAAGCGCTCAACATGAGCTTCGGCGGTGCTCCCACCGGTCCCGCCGGCACTGGCAAAACGGAGACAACAAAGGTGCCTCTTTTGCCGACTAGCCGATCTGCAACCGAGCAACTCGCAAGCCAATATGGCAACCGATCGGTTGCGTTGACACTTTGGGAGAGTAGACCAGAAGGGTTAGGATTTGGCAATAAGACACGTCAATGGTAGTCAAGGCGACAACCTGACAATACTGTTCCACATGAGAACTTGTGGTTAAAACGGTGACAGGGGTTCGGATCGTGTTTGCAAATGTCGATGAGACGAAATCAAGCGTTCAGTCCAAGGTTGGAAAGAAAATGGAAATATAGATCCACCTGCTTCTACGAGTTGTTGCTCATCTGATGCAAGATGCATGGCATCTCAAGTTGGCATTTTCACACTTTTATTCGTATGTAAGTAGGGTTTTGAGACTTCCAGTAAATCAGTGTAATGAAATGTATTCACCCTATTTCGTGTAAGGTGATGAAAGACTGGTGGTCGAATTTTCCCACAATCATATGAGTT